TTTAAGCTTTCCATTTATTATAGAAAATGTTTTTTTTTTAATATTATTATTTTTATTTTATGCATATAAAAAAGACAGGAAATAAAAACAATGTAAATATAGATCAGAACATTAGTTTTTAAAGTGAAAAATATCATGCTGCGCCAGAACCGACATATTTATACTACTAACACTGCATCATACTTACTCAACAATATACTCATTTCCAAGAAGGTACCGTGGTAAATTGCAGGACATCAGAAAATGTGCTGCCTCATTACATTTTCCCCTATAGATTAAACCTTTTTTTGCTATTATTTTAATAACTTCAATTATTCATTCTAGGATCTGCCTATTTTTTTTTACTTCGTGATGTAGATGTATTTAATTACTATTTAATAAACTAACAATATCTTTTTGATGGAACATGCTTTTAGCTTGATTATTCACCGTATACATGTTCAGAAATAATAAAGTCATTAAACGTATTTTGATTAATATAGGTACTATTTATTGCTGGGTTTGCTTCCAAAATAGTTGTATTACTTGGATTAATTATCCTTTAGATCTAACTAGGTCATCTAAATTAGATAAATCTCTTATTTTTTTATTACTAACCTCCATACTTGTTTTCTTCGTATTAATATCAGTAATATTATAATAACTATCATAATAATTAATAGAAGTACCAGGGGCTGTATGTGATATTTAAAAAACTAATTTATTTTTATTGAAAATATCTTCATGCAGTTTATTTTTTTTCATTTAGAAATTTGTTTGTATTAGTCGCCATCATTTAACAGTTTTCTATTCGTCAATACCAACATTAAAACAATGTTCTTTTAAAATTTGCCACCCCTTAAAAGTATCCGATTTAGGCACGTGTCTATAATGCCTGCATTTAAATACGCCTCCTGGTCATTATACTATAATTACCATTATTTTTTTTCCGATTATATTATATTATATTGAATGTAAAATATTCACTATACGTGACTAAAATTCCTTTAGTCTATATTTTAGTGCGTTGCGGTAGGTAGTGGATGGCAGCAGGGGGGAAGCATTGTTAAAATGCATTCCATCCCTCCTCCATATTGTAGCTGTTATATTGTTAAACCGGACGACGGCAAACCAGAAAAAAAGGTTCCTAGTCTCTACACACAAAATATGTTTGTACTATTGACGACCGGTTTCGGACGAACCGTCTAGGTACGGACCTCATTTATTGTGTTGCGAATTTACGCGCAGGGGCGCGCATTCCTACATAACCGACGTCTTCTTGTGTACCTGTGCTACGAGCCGGGTATTTTTCGGCCGTTCACTGTCTTTGTTGCACGATATTTTTATTTTCTCTGTCTATCCAACGGTATGGCGACAAAATGACGAACCGACAACGAACTATGTGTTCTCAAAACGCGTAAAATAATACATGCTCGAATAATTTTCATGAAAATATAATGTATACGGAATCCTGGTCGTTCACATTTTTTACAATATGTTTTTTCTGGTCGTGAAAAAAATGAGCTGGTACTTGGGACGGGTGTGTACTGGGTTCTATTTTTTGTACCGGGAAATAATAAAAATTTAATTTGACTTACTTATAAACGTAAATTATAAACATTCATCAAGTACTGGTCAATATATCTAAAAACTCGCAAAGCTATACCAATAGGTCAGTTTAAATTATTAGAAATAAAAACGTGTTTAAATCGGGGCTTGTAGAGAGAAATTCAATGTATTATATATCTGTACCCAACGATTAATCATTGCTAATAAAAAACTATTGTGGAGTTCGGTTATACATACCGTTTTTGAAAACCTGTAGTATTTAAAAATTTTGCCAAAATGTGATTTTAATTCTTATAAAAATCAAGTCTACATTGCACACAATTTATTTTTAACCTCAAAATATGACCTATAATGAATCTTCAGAGAATTTGACCGCGTCTATCAATTAATATAAGTTTTCTGTCCAAATTATAGGTTTACGAATATTTTTAATTAAATCGCAATAAAAGCGTAAAAATTGAAATTTTTCAATAAAAATGTTGTAAACATTTCTAATCAAACCGCTCTGTATCACTTAATAATCAACTAATTGATCTCAAATTATAAATTTATCCACAAAATATTTCCATAAAAAATAATCATTAGACAAATGCAGGCTTTTTCGCATTGTAAAAATAAGACATTTGGTCAGCTCAATATCAGTTTGCCCCACTGCAGCGCGCTGTAAACATTTGCCCCGTTTTACATATTATTTGAAAACCTTTTGGAAAATCAAAAAGATAACCTCGCTCTAATACGTAAATTAAATTAAATTTCTTTTCGAAAAGCTGTTTAAGGATAGAAAATTAAAAATTTCCCTAGCTACAAAATAGGGCTACACATATATAATATTATTATACCAATAGCATTCTGTCGAAACTGTACACGTATCCGCACGCGTCAACGATCTACGACCTGTCGTGCACACGTGCGGTCGTTTGTGCTACGGAATTTCTCAGAATTTCTCGCTGTCTTTGTCGCACAATATTTTTACTTTCTCCGTCTATCCAACGGCTCGGCAATAAACGATAATGGTGCAGCTGCTCTTTTTCGTATACGTCGTTTGCCATCTGTCGACCCTCGGGCAACGATAACATGTTCCATTGTTCCATTGTGACCATTGGTTTTCCATACACGCGTTGAATACTCGGTACTCAAATTATTTTGTGAAAATAATACAATAATGCATACGAATTCATATCGTCGTACACGTTGTTTCTCTTCAATATTATATTTTATCTGGTCTTAAACAAAATGTATTTACAAAAAAACATAATAGTATTATATTATAAAAGCGATATGCAATGATCATCTCAAAGAGCGACGAATTTTTTCGGGAGGGTGTTGATATTTTATGTTGAATTGTAACTGATAAATAATTATCAATACGCGTACAACATAACACGTCATCTTGTAAACATCGTATGTATAAAAGGCATGACCACATTAAACAAACAACGATAAAACCAAACAAATTAGAATTGTATACCAAGCTCTAGTAGATTCCAAAATTTACTATGGTATTACTATTTGTGGAGGTGCCTACGATGCAACACTAAATCCATTAGAAATAATACAAAATAGAATAATATAAATTATTTTGAAATAGAATCATTTGTATCACACAGAAATTTGTGCAAATAATTAAATGTTCTACCATTAAAAAAATTGTTCTATAAGGCTATAATTATTTTATAAGGAATCAGTAGTTTATATAATTAAAAATAACCTAACATCTAGTATTGATCATGGATATAACACAAAACAATTATCAAACATTACTGTTCTCAATGCACAGAAAACTAACTCAATCTACTTATATATAGGACCAAAACTTTATAATATGTTACAATTAGACTTCAAAACAACTGTATCGTTTAATACTTAAAAATAATTGGCTGCAAAATAAACCAAATTTAAAACTTTAAATTTTTGTATGTCTTTAATCTAGTTGCTTGAATTTGTATTTTATCAAACTGTATTATACATTAAGTCTCCATATATTAAATATTTTTACCTACATTAATATGTTTAAGTTAGTTTCATAAGTCTAAAATTATATAAAAAATAAGTTAAATTTAANTAAACAATAATAATAATAAACCTGAATTTTAGGGGGATTGTATTCTATATGGGATGTATTTAAATAGCTTTCCCGGAAAATGCGGAATATTTTGCAAAAAACTGCGTTAAAATCGCTCTAGTTATTTTCAAATGATGGCATGACCAAGGAAAATAGGTGTCCATTTTTATATATAGAGTTGATATAGGTACGAATCCGAAATTCCATAACATTACTACACAATGTTTTGTCGAAACTGTGTACGCACGCGCATGAGTACATCTTTAGGATCGTTAATGGCCGAAGACCTGTTGTGTGCTACGACCCTGGAATTTCTTGGTCGTCTTTGTCGCACATTATTATTAGTTTCTCTGTCTGTCCGACGGCGTGGCAATAAACGATTATATTCGGTCGCTGTACGTGCAGTTGCGACTGTCCTTTAAATCCCCCGTACGTCGTTCACCACTAGCTGTAGACTCTCAGACAACGACAACGTATAAACAACAGGGGTGCCCAACATGCGGCTCACGTATTATGTACGAAAACCAAAATTTTCTTATTATTATTATTATGAATTTAAATTTTTTCCGTATAAAAGAATACAAAATGTTGTTATTATATAGATATAATAGGCTATAAAATACAGATTAATAAACAAATATATAATAAGATATAAGACTGTATTCTACAAGACGATATATTAATCTATCTACGAATCTAAGGCTGTAGAATACAGGTTAATATTCAAATAAATATAATAAATTAATATAAATAATACATTTTAAAAAAAGAGCTGATACTGGTGATGGGAGCGGCCACTGTTGTAGGTGAGAAGTTAGGAAAGTAGGATACATAAGGTTATTTTATTTTTATCTGTAAGCAACGATAAACCATTACTTGACGAAAGACGATTCCGAGCGCAGTTCGGTAATATATAATTTGAAGTGCCCTAAATTTTTTTTGCAGTTTTCATTTAAATTTGATATAAAAACTAAAGTCTTGTAATTTTTGAAATATCAGTCGAACTTGACATATTGAATATATAATATTAAGTAGTATAATATTACAAAACAATAAAAAAGAATATATATTTAACTATGTGACAACAACCAAAGTTGAATAGATATATTGTAATAACTGTGAAAAATGTAGTGTTTATACTAGACCGCCCATGAAACAAACGCATGTTGTGTGTGACGTCACCAGATCACGACAATCTAGCGATCGCAACCCGCTTTCTATGTGCCTGAGCCTTAATTGTTGGCGAATACCTAGAACATATCTAGTAGTTAATACTACTCGTCTATTAAAATCATAACCGATAACAATTAGTGACATATACGGTAACCGATGACACTGTAATTGGCCGTAAAAGTTTACGGTTTTCGTAACCATTTTCCTAGTATGGTGAGACCGTTCATTCGTCTACTACAACTAATGCAATAATGTTACCTCTACATTAATTATAATATTCGAATTTTAGGCGGGCATTTTATCTCTCTTTTATAACTAATTAATATCATACAAATATCATAAGACATGAGTATTTTTAATAATCTATCATAGGTTCAAAAGAAGACTTCGACCATTTCGTCTTAATTGATAAGCAAACCCAAACGTCAACTTAAATGCTGTCGGTTCTGTAATCAATGAGTATAATATTTAGGTATAAGCCATATGTTAATAATATAGGTACAAGTAGGTGGTATATAACAATGAGTTTATTATATAATGACTAAGGATGGTCCTAATTACTAATAAACTGCCAAAATATGTTCTATAAAATAACCTAGGTGTTTATTATTCTTATCTATGTTCAATTATTATTAATAATGTTTATGTATGATATTAATTTTGGTTAAAAATACAAATATTTACATTTACAATTAATTTTAAAAGAATCAAGAAAGGCGTGTACATTATTGTAAATGTTATGGTACTGCGAGCATACATTAAAAAGTTTATAAAATAGTTTGTTCGTAAGAACTTGTAAATATTCAAATTGCGTGTTAATAAAATAAAATTTTTAATAAAATGGCGTATCAATAATCGTGTCAATGATGATTAAGATAGAAACAGAAATGTAGAACCCTCGCGGTCAGAGCGCTACGTGTGTACGGGCCTATTGAGAATACATAGTCTATACTTTATTCTTAACTAGAGGTCGCGGTCGATCGATAATTTGGTTGGTATGATTTGAATTTCGTTATCTCCGCCCACCGCAACAGTGTCTAAACAACTGTTTCTGTGAGTCGTGACCACTGGGCGACATTTCAGTTATACAGTTTCCCTGTTACAGTGTACATCAACAATTTTCTACTCTCTAGTACGGACATAATTTTGTTACATATGTTTAAAAAATTAAAAGTTTCCAAAAAATAATTTTCAAACACTTTTTATTTTTAAATTTATTTGGACATCGCTATTACTTTATAAGCGTTATTTATAATGGATCAAAAAAAGTAGTAAAAAAAAATTAGCATTGATTATGAAATCTATTATTATAAAATATAATTTTGTTGCAGTAAAACAACTCAAAATAAGTCGTTGAAGCGTGTGAGAATTGACCAGGTTTCCAAGGGATATACTAAAACACGAATAATTTCAAAACACAA